TCTTGAATCATAAGGGGATACAACTCTATAAAAAGACTAAGCCCCACTGAATTGTGCACAGTATGTGAGTTTTACCACAATAAAGCTGCTGTGTTACAATAAAATGGAATAGGGGTTGGAGAGATGGCTCAACGGTTAAGAGCACTGGCTTCTCCTCTAGAGGATACAGGTTTGATTTCGATTTGACCCAGGCTCACAACTGTCTATAACTCTAGTTCTAAGAGATAAAGCACTTTCTTCTGGCCGCCAGGCACACACAAAGTATACAGAAACACATGCAGACACAACAGCCATATAAAATAAAAAATAATAAAAATTAAAAAGAAAACAATAGAAGTAGAGGGAGTTAGAAGTCTATAGTCTATAAAGCAGACTGAGAAGAAACTAGGGCAAGGCAACAAAGTCAGAGAGATAAAACCCGATACCCTGTAATCCGCACTTATTTTACCTTCTCTTTCTTGCAAATAGATCTCAGCACTACCTGGGCACTCCACTTGTGAGAACAGAAACTTGAGAGAAAAGGAGACAGTAACCCTTGCTCATACATCATCTTCAAGAACCCCTCCCGCTGAACTTTCGTAAAGCACCCTGCCTAGGTAGTAAGGACTCCTCACTGCTGCCCCTTACTTATCTTATCGACCACAGCAACAGAGTCAAAAGGATTCAAAAATTGAGATGTCGCAGGAACACGAGGAAGGTATGCTGTCAGCCTTGGAGAGCTCTGTGGCTGCCACCGGTGTAGGTATTAGTAGAAGAACGGGCTTTCCTCATCTGGCCCTGACACATGCACAGATGTTCTTCAGCTTGTTCTTCACTTTAAGTTGGAAATGTAAGTAAAAAATGTAAGCCTATAGATGCTAATATAGTCCCTTAGGTGAAGACTGCTAAGCCTGACAACCCGGGTTTGATCCTCTGGACCCACATGGTGAGAAGAACCAACTCCCCAAAATTGTCTTCATCTTCACACACACACACACACACACACGCGCGCGCGCACACATACACTAAATAATATTAAATGTTCTGTTTTGTTTTTAATGTAAGCCTCATGTGGAGATGCATGTCTGTAAGCCCTTGTGGGTGGGAGCAATAAATACTCAGGAGTTTAAGCCTAGCTTGGACTACATGAGACCCTGTCTCAAAAACAAACAAAATACAAGATATCTAGCCTTCTTATTTGGTTTGAATGTTTCCTTCACAACTCACATTAAAATTTAATGACCATAGTGACAGAATTAAGGGGTAGAACTTGATTTTTCTTTCTTTGGAATTAAAAAATGTAATACAAAGTATTGTATAGCCAAAGATGAGTTCTAATCCCTAATCCTCCTACTTTTACCCCTAAAGGAATGAGAATACATATAGTCTGGGGTGAGGCTCTTGAGAGAAGACTAGGCCTTAAGGGCTCTGCTCTCAGGAATGGATAAATGAAGGCAGGAATGGTTCTTTGTAAAAAATGGTGAGTTCAGCCAGATTTTTTTGTCTCACACCATGCCTATACATGCCTGCTAGTTCATCTAGCAGTACAAAGGCCCCCAACAGAGATGTGACCTTTGACCTTGGAACTCCCAGCCTCTAGAACCATGGGCCAAATAAAGTTCTGCTTATACACGACTCAGTCTATGGCATTTCTCATGCACACACATGCACACACACACACACACACACACACACACACACATATGTATTTTTAAATTTAAATTTATTTTCTTTACATCCCAAGGACAACCCCTCCCTCCTTTCCTCCCAGTTCCCTCTTCTCCTCCTTCCCCTTTTCCCTTAGAAAAGGGGAGCCTCCTCTCCCCCCATAGCAACCCTCCCCTGTGCTATTTCTCTTATACTTATGGTTATAAGCCTAGCCTTAAATGGCTGAGCCATCTCTCCAGTCCTATGCTATTTCTCTTACAGCAACAGAAATGAAGAGCCCCACTAAGGAGCATAGATTGACCACACAGCACACTGTACCATATAGGTGATTCATCTATGTGATCCCATGGCTAGCTACCAGGAACTGTGGCTCACTGCCACTACCCAGCAAACAGCCAGAGAACATTGAGAATCCAAATTAGAGGTGTGTCCAATCAGATCAGAAAGTTAGGAACTCAGTGTTCCCTTCCTTCCCTTTCTATCCTCCCCTATTCTCTACTGCATGTGTTATCAATCATATATCTTTCTTCCTTCCCTCCCTCCTTCAGTCACCTCTGTTCCCCCAGAGACCTGGGCAGCCTTTCTCACTATAACTGCTCAACCAAACGGGCAGTCAGACTCTACTCTAAACTTCATCTGTAAGAAAGTGGCCACAGCTAAGGTAGAATCTTATCAATAACCCATCATGGCTCCAAACCCAACATCCAGACGCTGCACTGACCAGTGTGCACACTATAATGTTCCTGTTGATCTAAGGCAGCGGTTCTCAACCTGAGTCCTGAACCCTTTGGGGGTTAAACAACCCTTTCACTGGGGTTGCATATCAGATATCCTGAATATCAGATGTTTACATCATGATTCATAACAGTAGCAAAATTATAGTTATGAAGTAGCAATAAAAATAATTTTATGAGCCAGGCAGTGGTAGTGTATGCCTTTAATTCCAGCACTCAGGAGGCAGAGGCAGGAGTATCGCTGTGAGTTCAAGGCCAGCTTGGTCTACAGCACAAGTTCCAGGACATCCAGGGCTATACAGAGAAATCCTGTCTCATAAAAAAGAAAAAAAAAAAAAAAAAAAAAAACCAAACAAACAAAAATAATTTTATCGCTGGAATATTCACCACAATCCATGAGGAACTGTATTACTGGTTTGCAGCATTAGGTAGGTTGAGAACCACTAATCTAAGGGAATATCAGAGAATATGTGCAATGGTATATCATTGCGTACCTTTCCATCATCAGTAAAATAGAATAGTAAGGATCCTCAGATGAGCCGGATGCACAGGCCTGCCTGGCCCCTTGGGCACAGATAATCAGGAAGCTGAGGCAGGAAGATTACTTGGGCCCAGGAGTTTGAAGCCAGCCTGAGTAAAATAGTAAAATCCTATCTCAAAAAAAAAAGGGGGGGTGGGGCTGGAGAGATGACTCAGCGGTTAAGAGCACTGACTGCTCTTCCAGAGGACCTGGTTTCAATTCCAAGCACCCACATGGCAGCTCACAACTGTCTATAACTCCTGTTCCAGGGGATCTGATACCCTCACATATACATATATCCAGTCAAACACCAATGTACATAAAATAAAAATAAATTAATAAAGAAGTTATCATTCTTTCTTATTTTCTAAAGACACATAGTGAAACATAAATATAATGATATACGGGATTTCCCTCAAAATAACAAAGAACAGGAAAAAGAGAAGGCACATAAATACAACAAGATTAGCCATGAACTGTTAACTGAGTGAAGTTTTTAATCAAGTTATTTTCTACACCCACGTTTCAGGAAATAATCCCTTGCCTAGACGCCAATGGTCAAACTAGATAAGCCTGAAAGTTACACCCATCAGGATAAATTGTAACAATAATAATAACAAACAGAAAATACTAACCTTTGTAAGAATATGTGAAATTGGAAGCCTTGTGTATTGACAGAAGGAATATAAATGGTGTGCCTGCTGGGTGGTAGTGGCTTTTGCCTTTAATCCCAGCACTCAGGAGGCAGAGGCAGGATCTCTGATTTTGAGGCCAGCTTGGTCTACAGAGAGAGTTCTAGGACAGCCAGGGGTATGGAAAGAAACCCTGTCTTGGAAAATCATATGAATGTGAGCCTGGCTTGGTGGCACATGCCTTTGATCCTGGCACTCAGGGGGCCAGATGGATTGCTTTGAGTTTGAGGCCAGCCTGGTCTACAAATTGAGTCCAGGACAGCCAGGGCTACACACAGAGAAAAACTCTGTCCCAAAACCCAAAAATAGATAGATAGATAGATAGATAGATAGATAGATAGATAGATAGATAGATAGCAGACAGACAGACAGGAAAGAGAGAAAGAAAGAAAGAAAGAAAGAAAGAAAGAAAGAAAGAAAGAAAGAAAGAAAGAAAGAAAGAAGGAAGGAAGGAAGGAAGGAAGGAAGGAAGGAAGGAAGGAAGGAA